TGTGACTTTCCATCCAACATTTGTGACTCTCCATCCAACATTTGTCATTTTCCATCCAACATTTGTGACTTTTCATCCAACATTTGTCATTTTCCATCCAACATTTGTGACTTTCCATCCAACATTTGTGACTTTCCATCTAACATTTGTGACTTTCCATCCAACATTTGTGACTTTCCATCCAACATTTGTGACTTTCCATCCAACATTTGTGACTTTTCATCCAACATTTGTGACTTTCCATCCAACATTTGTGACTTTTCATCCAACATTTGTCATTTTCCATCCAACATTTGTGACTTTCCATCCAACATTTGTGACTCTCCATCCAACATTTGTCATTTTCCATCCAACATTTGTGACTTTTCATCCAACATTTGTCATTTTCCATCCAACATTTGTGACTTTCCATCCAACATTTGTGACTTTCCATCCAACACTTGTGACTTTCCAGCGTTTTCAGAAAACGTTTTTCATAATTAAATCTAACTATTGCAACTTTAGAGTCTATTTTCGACATTCCATGCACAATTTACAACATTCAAACCAATTCTTATGCATTTTAATTTGCAGAATATCAATAAAAATCTGACATAATTATACTAAATATGTTTGACGTTTAAAGTTAGATTTACTCTCTAGCACGGTAATCAAAGTTTCAATTCTACTATCAAAATGCTAAATTGATGTTCTGGCTATAAATATGTTAGGCTTTATTCGTTATTTTTGATATCTAAACTATTCTGGTACGCTTTATATTTGGTGCAACTGTTCTATATTAGTGCACATTGCAGCCGAAGTCATCCCCGTGCCACGGACCATACAGCATAAAAGTTATTTATAACTGTTTTCATTAATCATTTAATATTTTGTATTATCCAATTCGCTCGAGATCTAGCATTATTGCCTCGTCAAACTTATGTGTAATTGCTGACTAGGATTTGCATCATGGTGGTCAAATAACCTGAACAAAAATAGAAATAACTTCAAATTATTTCATGCATGTTTTGGTGATTTAAAAACAAAAAAAGACAAACACAAATTATCAAACGCAATCTTAATCGAAGTAGGCATCGATATTTGTCACTTGGTGGCGATATTTACAATATAATATATTGTGATCCTCAATACTAAATCATTGTACCCTAATTTAGAAATAAAGCAAATTTGCAATCTAAGTATAACACTCTTTACATAACTGTCCCTTCTACATTGCAAGGCATAAATACGTAGGTGTTTTGGAAGCATGGTAAGGGCTATAACTTGTCAAACTTAATCAAAGTATTCATCAATTGTTGACACTTGGTGGCGCTATTTACAAATTTGGCAGACGTGGAAGGCAACATCCTGATAAATACAATAACAATATACACATATATTATTACTCCGACGTGATGTCCATTTGCATCTATAATTGAACCTATATATTTATTTGAAAACATATCACAGATTACGCAGAACATTTTGGAAAGATGGCGACCAGTAACTATATACAGTTCTTTTCTGGTATTTTGGGAAATTTAATTCAAAACAAAATGAATCACTTTTTTGTCCCGGCTGTTATCGCGGAGATTCAATAAAAACAAAACGATTAAATGTACTTTTAAATAAACATTTCTTGTTCTAAGATTCTAAACTACAAGAAAGGTTTATCAGTACACACGGGACAGACGTGATATGGAGCAACGTACTTAACAGACCTCTGACAGACCTGTATGTTCATCCAAATTTAACAATACTTTTACTAGTAGTGATTAACAATGAATTACATTTTCATTCACAAATTTAGTTGATTATCGTTTTATATTCACCTGTCAAATCAGTTTGAAGTGATCAACACTTTCCTGCATTACAATTTTCGTATTTCTTTCAAAAAAGGCATTACTATCAGTATAATAATAATAATAATAATAATAATAATAATAATAATAATAATAATAATAATAATAATAATAATAATAATAATAATAATAATAATAATATTTATTTAAGAAAAATATATATATGTAGTGGGTAAAAAGGAAATCAGAAAATAGCTTACTGCTAGTCTAGTCTGATTTCCTATATACATTGGAAGTAAATTATAATGTATATAGTAGAGGGCCAAAAATAAGTATATTAATATGAAGATTAACCATAGACCCTCTAAAAGAGGGTCTATGGATTAACTAACCAAATTAATAAATAACTAAACAAACGAATATGAAAATTAATACAAATCGGTGATTAATAGACATATAGCTTATTAATCAATAAATGAACAAATATGTCTGTATGGCATCGCGCTTTGCCAACACCACCACTAGCATCAAACACCGCAGGGCAACCGTGAAAGTGGTACCGCCAAAACCAACCTGATGCCATACAGAACTTTGAAGAAAATAAGTTTTGGAAAAAAAATCAGGTTAAAAAAATGAATAAATAAACAACGTGGCAAACAAAATCACATGTGTCTAGTTTTCTGCCAATAATAATTGTTTAATCATATTTTTGAACGAGCTGCGTGAGATAATTGACCTGATTGTAGCCGGGATATTATTCCATATTTTTGCACCTGAGTATGTCATCGAAAACTGGCCAAATGTTGTACGGGTATATCCAACAAAAATATTTTGATTGTGGAGTTGTCTGGTTTGATATGAATGATGGATAGGTTTGAAAGAGTCATTAATATTATGGGCAGAATTATGGTGGATTAAATCATGGATGAAAGTACAGGTGACTAATTTGTGCATTTTATAGATATCAAGGATGTTTAATTTTTTGAATAAAGGGGTCGAGTATCCAGTGAACGAACCAAACGTCATTGCGCGAACTAACATTTTCTGGGTCAAATAAATGGCATTTAAATGTGAGTGAAATGAGTTGGAGTCGTCAGCAAAGAGGCGAAAATTAAAATAATTAGTCGAATTGGGAAGATCATTTATATAGAGTAAAAATAATGTTGGGCCTAGAACAGAACCTTGGGGTACCCCGTAATTAATGCTTGTTTTAGATGATGATATTCCATTGCAATGTACATATTGGAACCTGTTATGAAGATAATCTTTGACCCATTGAAGTGAGAGCCTCCAGGCCCGTAGCCAACACTTTTGAATAGGGGGTTCGAAAACAAAAATAATATATTTGACGTGAAACGTGTGAATTTTATTATATTAAAAAAGTGTCTTTGATCTCTGTTACAGGCATTTTTATATTCTCGGTTTTAAATTCAATTGG